GGGGGGGGGGGGGGGGGGAGTTATGTATCAAGAGGGGCAAGTAATTATATCTGGAGGTACAATGGTGTATGGTGTGTAGTTGCAGTAATGGAATTGGTCGGGTATCATGATGTTTTTAGAGAGTGAATCCATATTTTCGGGGGGCATTACCCCACCTTGACCCACTGTCGCTACGGGTGTGTGAAGTGTGCTATAGTAAGTAGAAAGTATAATTTCGAACTTTCATTAAAATTTAGTGAGTTTTCTTTTTTCTTTACCTGAAATAAGGTCATCGTCACAGTCGTCGTAATCACTCTTATAAAATAGGTCATCGTCCGCCATTTGTAACAGGGATTCAACCGACCGGCATAAATTCTGAACTAAACTATTCGTGTAATCTTGTCTTTGTTCTATCAAATCAAACCGCTCTTGAGATTTTGAATTGGATGTATCTTTCTGTAACTGGTAACCTAACAAATCATGTAACATTCTGTAATCTAGTGCATCACCATCTGAAAAATTGTTAAAACTCATTTAAGAGACAAGTTCGCCATCCGTTTGACCAATCAAACCTTGGTCTCTCACTCTCAGAATTTCAGCTAAGCTAATCAATAATAATGTTTTCAGCTCATCATCGAAATTTGAGCCTTTTATGAATGTCCAGAATTATCTGCGTTCGAAATTTAAAATGACGACTTGTCTATTCTTATGCTATAATAAAGGGCATGTAAGATTAAAACTTGTTTCGAAGAACAGGGGCAATAACTACACGTGTATTTAAGGAATCATGATATTCTTGGGTTTACTAACAAAATGTAGACGGACTGACGAATCGACGGTCGGGCAGATGGCCACACAGAAAAGGATGATAAGAATATACGCTTCACATTTACCGTGGACCTAAACAAATATATCTTTTGATGTTGACCATTATTGTAGTGGCGGTTGTCTTGCGCGAAGCAGACCATACCTACTCTGTCTGAAACACCTGTTGGCACCCCTTGTTTGAGGAGTCCACTACTATACATGTACTCTTATTGCCAGATTTTTGGTTACTGGAATTGTTTTACTTATACGGATTTTTATTCTACCCGATAATAATAGATCTTACTTATGGATGGCATGGAATTAAATCGACGAGGTTGTCGGTTTATATCTCCAGTACTGTACCATTTAGGTTCATGCAGGGTTTGACTCCCAGTTCTTCTTTCCTGTCTCTCTTCATTCTCCATTTGTCGCTCCACCCGTTGTTTGTTCTCTTTCTTTTTTCTGGAATTCTACATAATATGAAATTGAATTTTCTACCCCACTGTTCTGCATAGAAAATTGGGCAAATGATGACGGACAAAGCCAAGCAGAGTACAGCAACGGAAATTGTGTCAAGGCAGCTCCATTAGCCTACTTTCACTTCAGTCCCTTTGACATGCACCAAGTACTTTGAAATTTGGTGTTGGGGTTGCACTGAAAAATTCTGTTATAGGAAAAACAATCCTGGAGGTCTCGAAGCATGCATCTCATGGACAATTTTGAGGGTTTAAATATTGAATTTCATTCAATTTTAAATAGTATTATCCTTACACTGATAAATCGAACTACTGACAAAGTTGTTGAAGTGAAGGCAAAATACATACCCATGGCATATGTCTCGGCATGTTTGTAGTTCAATATTACATAAAAATTCCTAAATGAAAGATCATAGATTTAATTATTGGCTGTATTCGCTAGACTACAATCGAATCGAATAGCTGCATTCACAAATTGTAACTTCAGTGATTCAAGAAAAGTGGGTAATGATATCACATGTTCCTTAAGCACCGATAGCATATAATGTTCATATTCTGAACACTATGATGCTACCGGTAGTTACTGTCTGAACAACTAGACACTTTGCCCTTGTGATTGACGAGATGGATGACAATATACAAGTACGCTAAAATTGTGTGAGTACATATTATATGTAGTGATATATTAGATGTTTATAAGCTCAAACATAATTTTTTATCATTTATGGTAATCGTAATATACGTTTCAGAAGCTAATCTAAATCACTTACTACCGAAACCTGATGTCATTTAAGAATTTGAGTCACTCGCCATTCTCAGAGCTTTGTCTGGGTCACCTTCATTAAATCAAGGTAGCAAAGAAAATGTTATCAATAAATTCGAAACTGTATATTATTATGTATATAGTCCAAAACTTCCCGTTTCACTCCAAGATGGCGACGACAGTAATAAATGTTATCTTGATTTGCCTGGACACCCAAATATAATACTTATACATGTATACCCCTATTTAAAAGATAACATTGAGCTAATTATTATTATATTAATATGATAGAAGACGTGATTTCATAAAGGGGTTTAAAATAGGTTTTCCCCAGTTTTTATGTGTATCGGGGACACAGTTGGGGCATCAGTTTCAATCATTCCAATTTTCAATCAGACATCTGTGGTCCCTGCTATCCTACTAAAAATTGGTGTCACTAATCGTAAAATATGCGATTCGTAATTCATCAAGCACTTAGTTTTATTAGAATAGCAGGAACCACAGATGTCAAGTTGAAAATTGGAATGGTGCGAATTGATGCTATCCATGTCCCCGATACACATAAAAAAAATTCAGAAAACTTCTTTACAATCCCTTTAAAAGATAACATTGAGCTAATATATCATAATTAAACACAGGATTTCTTAAGAGACAACTTACGTGAAAGACAATGCTGCTGGTTACCGAATAATACCAACTAAAACTATATTAAAATATATTTACTAACATGTACCTTTCTTAAGAAAGTTCTATTTTAAGCACATCGTATGATCATCTGCCGAAATAAGGATCTGTAATTGGTCAAATCCGTCGGTGTAAAAACCCCATAATATTTTTTATAAATATAAAACTCTCTGAGAAATTTGAAATTCAAGGAAAAGAAAATACCCTATTGGGTTTCAGTGATTAGACAATATGCATAGACTATATAAATTTCTTATGTAAATCTCGGCTTGATGACTAAATAAATACCTAAGCGATTTATAGAAATTACGAAATGTAATGAAATGAGTAAAGTTCTCTTATCTTTAGTTGATATTTTCTAGGTTTATCTTTCCAAAGATAACCAGATGAAACATAAATCAAGATGATGATGACTTAATTGGTGTACCTTGTGGACTAAATACGGGTAATGCAATGAGGAAAATTTTAACAGGACAGCAGAACTAGCTTTCTAATATAGTATATTGATATACATCTAATGGTAGCTTTCTAACGAACCGTTCCTAACGACTAGGTGCTGCCTCTTCAACCCACATCACAGCCTTTTGAACGTCTCAGAGGTTATACATGTATCTCAGTGACGTAGCGGGGATTTCATCGAAGAGATCGGGGCGGATAGACATCCGAGAACTCCCTTTGAGAATAAATCTAACGGATGTGAAAGTAGCATATTTGTTATCCCCCGGGGAGAAGGTAGAGGGGGGAGGGGTCATGGCCCAAAAATGTACATCTAAATACGCTACTGATCTCGACAAATATCAGAATAGCAATTAAGAAAGAAACAACAAGGATAACAACTAAGGCTCACGGGGATCCATTTTACCAGCTGGTCCTTGGTCAAACTCATGGTATTGATCTTTCCCGGATTAATTCTACCCGTTTACAGCTGGGTGGACTAAAATAATGAGGAAAGGTCATTCATTCAAGGTCAACGGAACCAGATCTGAACCCTCGACCACGTATCCATGCAAATGGGGTTCTGTAAATTTTCGAACGCTCTAACTGATTGCACAACAGAACACCTCCTTAAACACCTCCCTAAACCGGAGTACCAATAGGGGGCAGATATATTCGATGGGGAAAAACTGTCGAGGCTGAATTCAAAACTCCATGGAGGCGCCATAGTCGCTAGCCTCTCGTGAAGCTTCTGAGAGGGATCTCCCACGAAATTTATGGAAAAATAGAATTGATTTGGTGCATTCTGACACATATTTTATTAGGGGCAAAAACGTAAAATAATCACATATCTTCAAATTTCTTAAATATATCTATGATGGGGGTACAATTGGGGGTGCAAAACATTTTTCTAGAAAGGAGTGGGGGTGTATCGAATGAGTTGTGAACCATTTTACCTTGATTGTTATCTTTTTAGATACTTGCATTGATACATTGTTTTTGTACTTGGATTTGGTTCAAGCAGTCCCTATAGTAGTTGAGCCACAGGTTCTCAAATTGGTACCAAACTATGGGTTATAGATTAGGGTAATTGAAAGTTACTGTTCAGTATAAGGCGCTGGCACAGGGTTAAAGTATTTTTTGATAACTATTGTGGTGTTAATAGTTTGTATTTAGTAAAATAAGCAGAAGAAAGTAATTTGGAAAGGTTTTGTGGGCCTAGTGGTTGTAGTATAGGCCTACTTTAGTCAGAAAGCAATATTTCAACAACTTGTGACTGTCTTTATTTATTCATGTTTTTTTTACTTCGTGGCGCTCACGGTAGGTGAAGATTACCAAGTTACCACAGTGTGCACAATACTTTAGGGATTAATGTATACAAATGTACTTGAAGTTATTCATACTCCTAAGAAATACATATGATTGTTTGTATACATGTATATAATTTCACTGAAGGACAAAGCCTATTAATGTTATGTACTTTGAGTGTAATTTGAGTCAACGTAGTCCGAAACAGACTTCTTCACACTCTACTCTTAGGGATTCTTTTGACCATTATCAGCTGACGTATTTTCATATAAAAATACTGTTGAACCAGGGATGTTACATTGGTGGCTATGGAAAATACGAATGGCTTTGGGGCATACTAATTGTTCGGTGAATTGGGAAAAGGAGATGATATGAATGGAGTTTTACGTCCTATATTTCTGCATCTAATGAAGACGGGCAACGCCATGCAGTGTGCATTGAGAATGAAACGAATGCAGTTTTACGTCCAAAGTGAGAATTGAGTGTGCATTTTGCCAGGACAGTGGCCTTAGCCTACTTTTTTCAATTTCCTTCTGTGGAGGGTTCTTTAACGTGCTTCGATGAAGTTGGGGTATATGAGGTTGCTCAATAAAAGTCTTTGTGTTAAGGAATAACTGATTACGTCTCATGTTTCTGGCTCTGTTGTCAAAAACATCAGAGGAAAATCGTAAAAATTCATAAGGCTGATAAGGACTACAAGTTTCGGACTATGACCTTTTTAAAGTTACTGCTGATATAATATGCTCTGGTATGTAAAATATGTGCCTACCTGCGTGGATACAATACCTAGTCATTAGTCAACTCCCTATCTAACCTATAAATATTAAACGAATGGAACTAAACGTCCTGCTCATCTACAGGTATTGGGCTAATGCGGTCGCGTAGCGCCCAGCAGTGTACAATGGGCCTACAGCCTGTAGCGCTTGAGGTCTCAGTTTATTGTCCTATCCGAACAACTCGACGCTTTATCCATGACATCTAACCTATTATAGCATTTTGCTTGCAATATGCTTCACAATATGCTGTGAAAAGTAAGAGGACCTTAATATTAATTTACGCCTGAGTAAATTGGGAGAAACAGAAGAGTCAACAATATTGATATGATAATGATGGATGTTTATCGAGTGCATCACCGACCATAGTTGTTTAGTTCACTGTACACGTATCCCTCTTGGAACGTGTTTGACTTGCAATCAGGCCCATAGCTAGAGGGAGGGGGGGGGGGGGGGGTGCCCCCTTATAGCATCATTTGTACCATCCCAATTGACGTCATCAAACACTTAGATTTAGTGTAAATACAGGAACCACAGGCGTCTGAATGCTTGGAATTGATGTTAACAGTGTCACCGATACACATATTTAGGAAAACTCTTTACAATCAATCTAATTCATGGTACTTACATGATTAACCCAGGAAGATTTATCCGTTTGGACCTTTTTGTTATATCGGTTTCCATCCTTCATCCAGGAGTTAACACATAACCATATAATCATTGGTAAGTTCTATGCTGATTTTATCAGGATACCAGCCTGGACCGCTTCCAGTATTGTCGTATCTTATCCATATACCTTCAACCTTAAAACATAAAAAAATATTGGTAAATAAAATGGGAACACCATAGTAATCTGTTCACAGAATGAATAAATAGGTCAAAGTAACTTTTTCGAGACTGTTTGGTGACAGTAATTTGGTATATAAATATAATAAACTACGACTTATTTACTGCCATCAAAGTAAAACTATCGCATTACTGTGACCAAATCACCGAACTTTAATGATAATATGCAAAATTTGTAGACTGACTTTTTGTAAATTTGGCTTAGCTCTGCGTGGAATTTCACATACATAGCACTAGCCAAGGATGGGTTAGATGAGATGAAGGCATTAGTAGACTGACTTTAGACTATTTTGAATTTGATAAAAATATAAATGCTTAATGTGGTTTTCTAATAACTTAAAAAATAATAGTTTGTCATCAATCACGCCGTTAGAATGGAGATTTCTGCGTTTGATGATGCTTTAAGCGAATAAATGATAAAATGATATTAAGAATGTTGTTGATTTTCATTGAATTGGACAATTTGTAACTAAACAATATATAAGAATGTAGCTCAGACTGTGAGAAACCATTAGGGAAGAAATCTGTCAATAGATTGCATACAATATTAATGAGTGGTGTTACTTTGGGGCAGGAAATAAACAAATGTACCATATCTTCAATAGAGCTTGTTTCACAAAGTTTACAGTATGGACTGTCAATCATATTAAACTTAAACAGTTTCTCATTGGTAAAAATAATGTTATGTGCAATCTTAAAATCATTTAAAATACTTCATTGCTTTTAAATTTAATAAATATGTTTGAGAATACAAAATTGAAATTAACATGGGGATATATTTCTTTGTAGTAGGTTACAGAGGTGGGGGGCTGTGCAACTTTAGTGCGTAAAGCATCATAAAATATTCGAGACGAACCGTTTAAGACGTTAATCTCAGAATCGTCGAAGACAAAGTACAACTCTATTTCATCATCTAGTGGATGGTATTCTGAATCAATAATATTTATCCAATCTTTGGGTATGGCAGTGAGAATAGTGTTGTACTGTTCTTCGATGATTCTGGGGTTAATGTCTATTTCATCACACACAAACATATCTAAAATTAATGCAGGGGAAGTATTCCT